CTTAAGAAGACTCACACTTGACTTGAAAGGGTAACCCTATTTCTCTCTCCACAAATGCTGCCAGACCTGCTGAGTTTCTCCATCTTTCTCTGTGTTTGTTTCCAATTTCTAGCATTGGCCAAAATGCGCAGCTACACAGCATGGAGGGATTGTTGCTTCCAATCGAATATACGTTTTCTTATGCCTGCATTCATTGTTTTTAAACACAATGCTGAAACTAAATTGATCTAAAAATACTTTTCTTTAAATTCATCCAAAAGATGTGGGCACCGCTGGCGGGGTCATCATTTATTGCCTATCACCAGTTGCCCCTTGAGAAGGTGGGGGTGAGCTGCCTTCTTGAACCAATGCAGACCATGTGCTGTAGGTTGACCCATTATGCCCTTTGGGATGGAATTCCAGGATGTTGACCCAACAACAGTGAAGGATCAGCGATATATTTCCAAGTCAGGATGGTGAGTGGCTTGGAGGGGAACTTGCAGGGGGTGGTGTTCCCATGTATCTGCTGCCCTTGTCCTTCTAGATGGAAGTGGTCATGGGTTTGGAAGGTGCTATCTGAGGATCTTTGGTGAATTTCTGGAGCACGTCTCGTAAATAGTACACACTGCTGCTACTGAGTATCGGTGGTGGAGAGAGTGGATGCTCAAAGGGCAATGATGGGATGCCAAACAAGTGGGCTGCTTTGACCTGGATGGTGTCCAGCTTTTTGAGTGTTATTGGGGCTGCACCCATCCAGGCAAGTGGGGAGGATTCCCTCACACTGTTGACTTGTGCCTTGCAGATGGTGGACAAGCTTTGGGCAGCCAGGAGGTGAGCTATTCCCCCCAGAATTCTCAGCCTGTGACCTGCTTCATTAGAACACTACCCGAGGCCAAGCACAGAAAGTGTAGAGTAAGAACAAAAATTAGTTGCGATTGGATTCTGAGGGACCTGCTTGTGCTCTGAGCGGATATAGAGTTAAGGATGAACACTGGGACACAGAATATTTTGGAGGAGATAAACCGATTTTTTTTTATTAGCAAAGGGTTGAAGGGTTTTGGGGAATGGGCAGGAAAGTTGAGTTGAGGCCGAGATGAGATCAGTTGTGATTCAGTTCAGCAGGCTCGAGAGGCTGAATGGCCTATTCCTGCTCCTGGTTCATATGTTCTTATTCCTCAAAGTGATTACACAGTCTGGGCTTGGTCTGCCCAATGCAGAGGAAACCATAATGACGTTGGTGAATACCAAAGACTAATTTGGAAAAAATCACCAGTCGTTGCCCTGAACATTCTGGGATGTTCTGGAAAGACGATCTGATCGGTTATCATCTTACCTTTTTTTAGGAACCTGCTGTGTGCAATTGGCTTGTGACATTTGCAACTTTACAACGTTATTGGAATGTGCTGCGTTGGCTGCAAAGCATTGCTGGGGGCTCTGAGGTCATAAAAGGCACTATACAAATGCAGAGATAACAAGATGTAGAGCTGGATGAACACAGCTGAAGAAGGGTCTAGGCCCGAAACGTCAGCTTTCCTGCTCCTCTGATGCTGCTTGGCCTGCTGTGTTCATCCAGCTCTACACCTTGTTATCTCAGATTCTCCAGCATCTGCAGTTCCTACTATCTCTGAAACTATACAAATGCAAATCTTTCTTCTCCTGCTGGGAAACCTTGGTGAAATGTTTACCTGGTCTCCTTGATAGAAGCCAGTGATTGTGACTTAGACAATGAGGCTTTGATGATGGAGGCTTGAAGGACAGGAGCTAAATCATTTATCGCAAAAGTAAGTAAATATGCTGTTTGAGCATCCTGTATAGCCTCGTTAATATACATCACAGCAATTTCTACAGGATATTGTCCAGCTGATCGCAATGAATGCACAAGAAGCTTGCGCACTCAACAAAACCTTTCCATTTACGAGTGCATTGTCATGAAGCAATTATCCTGGATCTATCTGTCGAGCTACCTCGACAATTCTTACAGCGAATCACAGCAATAGGATGACTCATCACACAGCTTCTCCCACAGCCCCATGTACACTCTCGCCCCCATCACTGACCCCACCCACCGATCTAATCCCCCTCCCACAGCCCCGTGTACACTCTCCCCCTCATCAATGACCCTACCCACCCATTTAATCCCCCTCCCACAGCCCCGTGTATACTCTCCCCCTCATCAATGACCCTACCCACCCATTTAATCCCCCTCCCACTGCCCCGTGTACACTCTCTCCCTCATCACTGATCCCAAGCACCCACTTAATCCCCACAACCCACGCTGGATGTCGGAGGCCCTGTTTGCTGCTGAAAGGTCCACTGGAGTGTCCATGGATCTAGAACTAAGGTTTGGGTGTTTGAGGACTACCAGCAATGGTGACCAGGGGGAGGAAGGGTTGGGGCTTCAGAAGCAAGGCGATAGGAGTGTCCTTCAGCAGAAATACCCTTGACTTATATCCACATCCACAACTGGGCACTTTGCCCCAGGCAATCAGCTGTCTGCTGTGTTCCCCTCTGATATGTCTGTTTGCAGGTGGAATTTGTAGAGCATTGATCAACAAATATTAATATTCAGCAAATGCAAAATCCTGGAGCCAAAGCTATTGCCTCCTCATTTGCTGAGTTTATGGTGATTAATCCACCATTTGTCTATAGAGGGGGACACTGCCCATTGATGTGCAACAATGTCTGTGTCTCTCCACAAGTGCCATGATGTGAAGGTGCTGGTGTTGGACTGGGGTGGACAAAGTGAGAAGTCACACGACCCCAGGTTATAGTCCAACAGGTTTATTTGAAATCACAATGAAGGGGCAGCACTCCGAAAGCTTGTGATTTCAAATAAACCTGTTCGACTATAACGGGGCGTCGCGTGACTTCTGACTTTCTCCACAAGTGCAGAAGGGGTTTGTACTGAGGCCTCAAGGTTGGAACACAAACAGAAGTTGCTGGAAAAGCTCAGCAGGTCTGGCAGCATCTGTGAAAAAAAAATCAGAGTTAACATTTCGGGTCCGGTGACCCTTCCTCAAGGTTGGAGCTCAGTTGTGAAGACACCCTGTTTTGCTGTGACCCTGTATGGCCAGGATCACTCTCTCTACGGTGAGTCAAAGCCAGCCATTCTACGGAACTTACTGGGGTCTTTCCCATTCTTAGGTTCACAGGCGTCTCTTGCTGGTGGATCTTGCTCAGGGGGTTTGCTCCAGACAGCGCACCGAGAAAGTGGGCAGCAGGTGGACAGGATAGGCCATCGTGGAATGGGTACATGAGGGGCAACAGGGATGAGGTTTCAACCAGACTGTGGATTCTGATCAGCTGGTGGACGTGTTGGGGAATGACGTTTGTGAGTTCAGGAAGTCAGGGAAGGGGAGTTGGGCACAGAGTTCCACTATTGATGTTCGTTGTCCCATTCATTTGAGGGTCAACAGGTTGTGATCGGCCATGATCCTGTTAAATGACACAACAGGCCTGAGGGTCATTTGACCTATTCCTGGAGCTCTGATGAAGGTACCTGCTCGTTTCTAAACTCAGCCTTTCTCTTCATCTTTGCCTGTTGGTGAATAGAGTCATTCGAGAGGATGTGACACAGGTAACTGAGAGAGAAGAAATGAGACGACATATTGACAGAGTTTAAAGATGAGCAGTAGGAGGAGGCTTGTGCCTAACCTAAACTTCACTCCCTTGTCCAGAAAGCAAAACCGATAAAAATAGTAAAAACCGAAAGAACTGCGGATGCTGTAAATCAGGAACAACAACAGAAGTTGCTGGAAAAGCTCAGCAGGTCTGGAAGCATCTGTGAAGAGAAAATCAGAGTTAACGTTTCGGGTCGAGTGACCCTTCCTCAGAACCCTTCAAGTCACCGGACCTGAAACGTTAACTCTGATTTTCTCTTCACAGATGCTGCCAGACCTGCTGAGCTTTACCAGCAACTTCTGTTTGTGTTCCCAATAAAAATAATGACTGATGTATAGCTCTGACTCATCTTGTACATTTCAAAATGTATCTCCAATATGACCAGTGCAATGGTGGTTCCTTTCACTGCCCTTTCCTTCCCTCTTTTATGTCTTCCGGTAATCGTAAACATCACTCGCCCATGTATCTACAAGGCACAAGGCAGGAGTATGATGGAATACTTCCCACTTGCCTGGATGGGTGCAGCTCCAACAATATTCAATACGTTCAACACCATCTAGGACAATGCAGCCGGCTAGATTGACACCACATCCACAAGCATCCAGTCTGTCCACCACCAACGTTCTGCAGCAACATTATATACCATCTACAAGATGCACTGCAGAAATTCACCAAAGATCTTCAGACAACCCCTTTTAAACCCATGACTACTTCTACCTAGAAGGACAAGGGCAGCAGATAAACGGAACACCACACCCCGCAAATTTCCCTCCAAACCACTCACCATCCTGACTTGGAAACATATTGCTGTTCCTTCAGTGTTGCTAGGTCAAAATCCTGGAATTCCCTTCCCAGCAGGATTATGGGGCAACCTACAGCACATAGACTGCAACACTTCAACAAGGCAGCTCACCACCGCCTTCTCAAGGGGCAACTAGGGACGGGTGATAAACGTTGGCCCAGCCACCACACTCAAAACTCATGAAATATTAATTTTTTAAAAATATTGGTGGTTAGCACTGCTGCCTCATAGCACCAGGGACCTGGGTTCGATTCCAGCCTCAGGCAGCTGTCTGTGTGGAGTTTGCACATTCTCCCTGTGTCGGCATGGGTTTTCTCTGGGTGCTCTCGTTTCCTCCCACAGTCCAAAGATGTGCAGGTTAGGGTGGATTGGCCATGCTAAATTGCCCCATAGTGTGCAGGCTAGGTGGGTTAGCTGTGAGAAATGTGGGGTTACAGGGAAATGGGATGGGATTTTGAGTCTGGATGGGATGCTCTTGAAGGGTTGGTGTGAACTTGATGGGCCAAGTGGCCAGCTTCCACCCCGCAGGGATTCTAATCTGTTCTATTTCTGTGTACTGACAACCATTCCATTATCTCTCTTTCTCTTTGTTTTTCAGAGTATTTAAGAAATCCAGCCCCAATGGAAAGGTAAGACCTAATTTCACAGATTTACCAGGAAGAAAATGTTTCATCTCCTGGTTACAGCAGCGTGTGAGAAGCAGAAATGTAATTAGTTTAGATTGCATGACTTAGCACTGGAGCAGGTATGATGCATGTAGAATGAGTCCTCAACGCTGCTCACAATGTCGTATACTAGCCAATAGTTTTGTAGCCATCATTCTTCGTCCTAACAGGGGCTTGCTTGTTCTAGGGCAGTAAAAGAAAACCATATATTAGCCTAATGAGTAGAAGCTCTTTCCTTGAACAAGGGTCTGGAATTTCAATGATCAGATAATTGTTCTGGCAATGTAGATTGTGAATGTGCGTTGAGACCATGAGAAATGACGGTGTAGCTGATTGCACGGGAATCGTCTGACACGCTGAAATTTTCATGGTAAATCTCCCTGTGATTATGAAACCTCCAAAATAGTCCCCAGCTGTCAGAGAAAGTTGGAAAATTTGGAGAGCTCTGACTCACTTAAGCTGAACAGTTACCTGAGAAGAGTTAAAGGAATATGCAGGCATTGGGGCAATCCAGAGAAGGTTCAGTAGGCTGATCTCAGGTTTGGAGGGACTGTCTCATAACAAGAGGTTGAATAGATTGAGCCTGTACTCATTGGGATTTATAAGAATTGAAAGTTTACCTTATTGAACATATAAGATTCTTAGGGAACTTGACAGGGTAGATGTGGAGAGGTTTTTTTTCCATTGTGGCAGAGTCTAAGACCAGTGGGCATAATTTCAGAATAATTTTGAGGCCACACATTTAAGACAGAGGTGAGGACCAATTTGTTCTCTCAGAGGGTAGTAAATCTGTTAAATTCTTTATTTCAGCGGGCTGTTGAGGCTGAGTCATTCAGTCTATTCAAGACTGAGATAGACAGATTTTTAATCAGTAAGGAGCAATCAAGGGTTCTGGGGAAAAGGCAGGAAAGTGGAGTTGGGGATTATCAGATCAGCCTTGGTCACAATGAATGGCAGAGAGACGCGATGGGCTGATTGGTTTCCTTCTGCCCCAACGTCTTATGGTCTCGAGCGTGGTCTAAAATGAAACTCTCAATCACCACTGAATATCCCCAACAATACCCTTCTCCTTCCCAATACGTACAATACAACCCCATCTGCTCCCGCAATCTGACCCTCCTGATGTGAAACCTCCTTCCCACACTGACCCTTCCCCCACACACTGACCCCTGCTCCACCCACATTGATGCCTTTTCCCCACACTGACCTCTCCCCCACACTGACCCTTGCCCCACAAACTGACCCCTACTCCCCCAACACTGATCCCTTACCCCACACACTGACCCCTCCTCCCCCCACAGTGATGCCTCTTCCCCGCACTGACCCCTCCTCCCCCACACACTGACCCCTCCTCCCCCACACACTGACCCCTCCTACCCCACACTGATCCCTCTTCCCCACACTGACGTCTCCCCCACACTGATTCCTTCCCCACACTGAGACCGCCACACTGACCCCTCCCCGATACTGACCCTACCCCCACACTGACCCCTCCCCCCATATTGATAATGCCCCCACACTGACCCCTCCCCACACACTGACCCCTCCCCACACCCTGAATGATTCCCCGCCCACACTGACCTCTCCCCCCACAATGACCCGCACCCCGAAACACTGACCCCTCCTGCAAACTGATTCCTTCCCCCACACTCTGACCCCTCCCTTTCCACTGACGCCTCCCCCCACACCTCTCCCCACATTGACCATTCCCACACACACTGTTCCCCTCGTCCCCTACACTGACTCTTCCCTATATACTGACACCCCCACACACTGACCCCTTCCCCATACTGACCCCTCCTCCCATGTACAATGCGAATTATAACTGGCTCAGTTCAATTACCACCTTTCAGCAATTTATCTGTTCACACGTGAAAGATGTTCTGAGAGCTGTATAGCGATAACCAGGAACAATTTAAAAGAGGGATCTGTGAAAATAGCTGCAGTTCAGCAAAAATGTAATTAAGGTCAACCAGGGCTGGGGGACGAATCCTTGTGAGGTGAGAACTCAGGTGGCACAGTGGGTTAACACTGCTGCCTCACAGCATCAGCAACTCAGCTTCAACTCCACCCTTGGGTGACTGTGTGGAGTTTGCACATTCTCCCCATGTCTGTGTGAGTTTCCTTCGGGTGCTCCGGTTTCCTCCCACAGTCCAAAGATGTGCAGGTTAGGGTGGAATGGCCACGGGCAATGTAGAGTTAGAAAGATAGGGTATGAAGGTGGGTCTGGGTAGGATGCTCTTCAGAGGGGTCGTGTGGACTCGATGGGCAAAATGACCTACTTCCACACAACTGCATTCTATGATATTTTGAGACTTGGATTTTAAAACTGGAAGCAGATGGGTGCAGGTCCATTCTGTGAAGGTAATTCATTATAAACAGGTTGGAACAGTGACTTAAATACATCAGTTCCAAGAAAGCATGTGACTACAGTCAAGTGCCTGAGAGATCCCCTTATGGTGTTAATGGATGAAATGTTTTTAATACTGATTTTACAATGCCTCCCAAATCCATTCATTTAGTTTTGTCTTCAAAGTTTACGGTCTCAGTTCAGAAGGAAAAACAGTTCTCTTCACATGAGAATCACGGTTTTTGTTCGGGGGATCGATTACCTTAGTCAACGTGTTGCTAGTTCATGGAGCTTCCAAGCAAAGAGAGTTTGTAAAGAAGTCTTCAAGTTGTGAGAACTGAGAAAATTCAGGACATCAGAATTGTGAAAGGTCCATGCGAAGGAACTCAAAAAGGAATTGTAAAACAGGCTTCGCAGTCTAAGGAACAGAAACTGCGAGGAGTCAGTTAAGTAAAAACATAGGGAGTGGAGATAGGAGTGACATTTTTCTGGAATTGAATTTCTGTCTAAGGTTAATGTTGGGGCATACGTTGAAACTTTGTCTTGCTGTTTGTTTTGAAATCTTTCTAACTGTTGTACAGGCATCATTTGTGGTTTAAACATATGCTCTTATGTTAAAGAACATCTGCAGCCTCATGTAAATATATTTCAGTGACTCACCATCAAGTGCAAAAAGTTATATGGCTGACCTTTTTATTCTTTTTTTAAATTCACTCATGGGATGAGGACGAAGCTGGCTAGGCAGCATTTATTGCCCATCCCTAATTGCCCAGAAGGCAGACAAGAGGCAATCACATTGCTGTGAGTCTGGAGTCACATGTAGGCCAGACCAGGTAATGATGGTAGTTTCCTTCCCTAAAGGACATTGGTGAACCAGATGGGTTTTTCCAACAATCAGAAATGGATTCACAGTTATCACTAGATTCTTAATTCCAGATATTTATTGACTTCAAACTGGACCATCTACTGTGGCGGGATTCGAACCTGGGTCCCCAGAACATTATCTGGGCCTCTGGATTAACAGTCCGGTGATAATACCATTCCATCCCTGTTTGAGCCAGGTTTCATTGTGGGATCTGTGTTCCTCCAGCTCCACACTGTTATCTTCATTGTGGGATCTGTCTTGTCCAGTTGTACCATTGGCTGGGATCATACGACTTGTAAATCCCTATGTGGCAGCCTTCTATCTTGTCAGAACATGGTCTGTGCGGTGTCAGTCGTGTGCTAAACATCGCCCCCTGGTGAGATTCAGGAACCCTGCTGTGGTGTGGCAGGATCCCCACCGTATTTGCTAGGGTGGGGGAAGGTGCAGGATTTACTCATCTTAGTTTTTTCTGGGCTCTCTTCTCAGCCAGCAGAGATCACAGCAATCAACAAATCTCTCCCAGTGACATTGTCTGCCATCTTCCTAGTGTTGTTGAAAGAAGCCAGAATTGGAGGTGTACGGAGATCTCAGAGGAGTGAGAGGCTGATTGCAGAGATGGGGAGAGAGCAAGGCCACGGAGAGATATTAAGATCATAGGAATTTTAAAATTGAGGTACTTCCAGACCAGGATAAATTCGCAAGCCTAGAGGAATGAGTGACAGTGCGGGCTCAGATTGGCACAAATATGAGGCCAGTTAGGGAAAGGAAACAGTTTCCCCACACACTAAGATAACAAGATGTAGAGCTGGATGAACACAGCAGGCCAAGCAGCATCAGAGGAGCAGGAAGCCTTCCTGCTCCTCTGATGCTGCTTGGCATGCTGTGTTCATCCACCTCTACACCTTGTTATCTCAGATTCTCCAGCATCTGCAGCTCCTACTATCTCCCCACACACTAACCTCATTCTAATGAATCTCACACTCCCAGATCGTGTTTCATTAACAACAATCTCCAAGTGTTTTGTCGGGGAATGCGAACGTCACGATAATGTCATCTTACAGCTCAATGAAACACCATTCCAAACGTGTTAATTGAGTAAAAACCGAAAGAACTGCGGATGCTGTAAAACAGGAACAAAAACAGAAGTTGCTGGAAAAGCTCAGCAGGTCTGGCAGCGCCTGTGAAGAGAAAGATCGGAGTTAACATTTCAGGTCCAGTGACCCTTCCTCAGAACTGAGGTGTTAATTGAGACCATGGAGAATGATTCCTCACAGCCAAAGTGACAAATGCAAGCTTGAGTTCCAATTACAAATCCAACGCAGTTACCATTAGAACCAATGCGTTCATGTAGCATCTTTTGCAATCTCAGTGTGTCCTCAAGCACTTACTTTACTCTTTCATGGGATGTAAGTGTCACTGGAAATGCTATCATTTCCGAACATAGGAACAGGAGGAGGCTATTCGGCCTGTCAAGTCTGTTCCACCATTCAATGAGATCATGGCTAATCTGTGGCGTAACTCCATATACCTGCCTTTGGTCCATATCCCTTAATAATTTTGCTCAACAAAAAATTATCTATCTCAGAATTAAAATTAACAACCGATCCAGCATCCACTGCCATTTGTGGAAGAGAGTTCTAACCTCTACCACCCTTAGTGTGTTGAAGTGTTTCCTAAAATCTCTCCTGAATGGTCTGGCCCTAATTCTCAGTCTGTGCCCCTAGATTTAGAATCACCAATTGTGAAGAC